TCTCTCCGCCCCGTCGCGCCCGCTGCGCCGCGCCCCGCCGCGCCCCCACGCCCCCATGCCCCGCGGGCTTGTCTCCGCGCAACAGCGAAAAAAATTCCCCCGACGCGCACAGGGGCGTGCCTCCCCAGCCCCGGCCCCCACGCGAGAGACGCCCTACGTGTGTGTCACTTTGGCCGCCGCCCCCCGCGCGCCCCGCGTCACACGCTATAGGCCGGGCTGCGTGTTGGAGTCAGTGCTGATGTTGAAATTGAGTGATATGTCCTGTCGCCTACCACTCGAAGGGTGCCTTCTAGTGACTAACTCTAGCTAGAATTACTGCGAGGCGACGTGCCCGTGCCGGAGGATGGATCGCCGATGCTGGTGGGAGGTGCCATCGCCAGCGACTTGGAAACGGCCCCGCCGCCTGGGGCGCCCGCCCTACAGAGGTTTATAGGCTGAGGAGGGTGCGGGTGTTCCAGGGAGTGTGCATGGGTCTTCCGCGCCGATTTTCTTTTCTATCACCCTCCGCGTATCTCCGATTATAGACGGGATGTCATTGATAGTTATGTTACTGATAGTTATGTTATTGATAGTTGCGTTGCATCGTTTCCTTCCGCTGGGCAGGGTAAGGTGCCCTGTCTTGTCTCGTCTTGCGATGATGGTGTTGCACTGCATCGTTTCCTTGCCCTGGGCAAGAAAAGATGCCTGTCTCGTCTTGCGACGATGCCGATGGTGTTGCACTATACCCAAGGGTAGCTAGTTGTGTTGCACTGTTTCCTTCCGCTGGGCAAGGTAAGGTGCCTCTGCCTGTCTCGTGTTGCGACGACAGTGTTGCTGCACGGTACATGTGTAGCTACCCTTGGTACTGTACACGTATTGTACGTGTCTTTTGATCCCCATCCACTTTATTTCAAAAACTTTTTCCTTTTTTTCGTGGGAAACACTGTAAGCATTCGGTCGCACGGACGCGTGTACAATCTCGAGCCTTCGCCACCACCGCCCGCTCCACTCCACGCCTTCACTGCTGTCGACCTGCTCTGCACACCAACCTGCGTCCGACATCTTGACATAGCCCCGCCACCGATAGGAAACACTTTCTTGCCACCTCGAGCGTAATGGACATCCATTGATCGATGCTGCCGCGCGGCTGCGCCCCCGACGGCGCGCCCCCGCCGCGCAACGACATGAGCCGAGCCGCGAACCACTGCTTCCGCTCCGCCGTCGCGGACGCGCTGGAGGAGTGGGAGCACCACTTCCCGACGCCGCGGGGCCCGCTCGCCACCGCCGCGCCGCACGTCGAGGACGTGTACAGCGACCGCCTGTACCAGCTGCGCGAGCACTGGTGCCTCACGTTCGACGGCTGGCGCCCGCACGAGGTCCTCGTCTTCATCGCCACCACGTACCCGCGCGAGCAGCTGGTCCAGCTCACGAAGAGCCGCCGCAACTCCCAGTTCCTGCGCCAGATCCACCACGAGTGGCGCCCGCGCTTCGTCGACTGGATGACCGTCCTGTGGCGCTTCTGCGGCGCGGCCCACGAGCTCTTCGCCGACCTCGTCTTCCTGCTCCCGCAAGGCCAGCGCGCCCCGGACCCCGAGATGGGCCGCGTCTTCTTCCGTGACCTCGTGTGGAGGAGCGTCATCCCAGAGGCCGCGTGCGCGGATATCGCGGGCGCGCTCATCGAGTGGCCCATGGAGAGCACGCTCGGCCTCAGGCATGCAAAGGCTATCTATCATCTGGCAAAGGACCTCTCGCCGGAGGAGACCGGTTTTCTGTGTCGCTCGCTCGTGCTCATGCGGTCTATGAGGAATTGCACGTGCGGCTATGCAAGGAATGAGCCGGAATGCGTGTGTGGGGGCAGCAACTTGCAACTGGATTTGGATCAGGACTATGTAACCGCCCTCTTTCCACTAATTTTGGCAGACCATGCCCAGACAAAAGTCGTGGTCGAGGATCGCTGGGATGAGGAGCAGCAGGAGGACTTTTTGCGCAGCGCGTGCGAGCACGTGTTTTCGGAGCAGACGTACAAGGAGATTGTGCATGATGTCATGCATGGGAGGATGGCGAGGAAGATGCAAAAGTACCCGCGGCAGCTGACGAAGAAGGAGAAATGGCGAAAGCCCAAGAAAGCCCAGTGCAAATCGCATATGATCGACCATAAGAATTGCGTCCATCATAACTGTGCGCAAATGATTAAGAGTGGATGTACGAATCTAAGCTGCAAGACGCATTGCACGTCAAGGGGAATGCAAGAGTGCCACACACACAGGCATTACGTTGTGAAGCCTTTGCCCAAGTATCCACAGAGGAAGAGCGTCAATACGCAACCTGAGACGGAGTGGATGGGCAGTATGGTGGCGCAGTTTTGAACTCGAGGGCGTGACAAACACTTGGAAGGGATCTTTTGTGGTTTTCTGCGCTGTTGTGACAGCAAAACTTTTTCGAACGATTAGTTGTTGACCCTAACTGCGGCCAGGGCACCCCCTGCTGCCTTGCATCAAACCCAGAACGAAGGGGGATCGGAATTGAGTATGTGCTTTCATGCTTTCATGCTTTCATGAGGCACATGTATGAATGCACGCAATCTGTGAATAGCAGTTTCGGTAGCGAATAGACATGTGAACGTTCAGGTGTCTCGTGAGACGCCGTTATGTCGGGACATTGGATTTCGGACATGCTCTATATCTTGAGATTAACCGTCTCCATGCGGTGATGGTGCCTGCGAGCCCTGTTTCGCCGGAGCGAGTGGCGACAATGACGTTGGGCGAATCCAATCGACAGCCGAGCTGCAGCATGAGCATCGGTCATGGACACGTGTTCTGGATGCATCTCCCACTGCCTGCTGTACAGTAGATACAGTAGATCTCATCCTATCTCATGAGGATATGTCACTCCCGCAAAGTAAAAACCGGCCCTCTCACCTACGGCCGCCCCCCTTCATTCCCCGATCCCCGCCCTCCCGCAAACGCATCTGCCCATATTGCGCGGCCAATGCCGCTCTCCTTCCGGATCGCGGGCGTCGACGTTTCCCTCGGCGGCGCACCACACGCCGCCCAAGTCTCGGCCCTCTCCACCTCTTCGCGCGCGGCCAGCATCGGCCCATACCCCTCAGTCGGACAAGCCGCAACTGCCTCTCCCCCCGGCTACCGCATTAACACTCTCTCCCGCGTCATCGGCACGGGCACGCACGCCTGGCGCAAGGCTGCCAAGGCCTTGGAAACAGCCGACGCGCTTGAGACGCCGTGGGTGCGCTTCTGGCGGCAGGGGCACGCCTTGCGCTGGGCGAAGGGCGATGTAGTCGTCGTTGTCGCACGCGTCCTGCCCTTCGTGTGGACCTCGAATGTGAACAAAGTCGTGGCCGTGCAAAGACGGAGACGCAGCTTGTCGGTGGCGTGGGGGACAACCAGTAGGCATGTGCTCAGGGGGGAGGAGGTCGTGTCGGTAAGCAAGAAGGAAAATGGAGACGTTGTTTTTGACCTGAGAAGTTTTTTGAGGCCGCATGCGTTCATGGCGTGGCTCTCCTATCCCTTGGTTATGTACTTGCAGGCGGCGTTTGCCAGGGATGTGTGCCGGCAACTGGCAGAGGCGGCCAACGATTCAAGTTGATGGGACTAATGTCCGCTGATATGGCATCGTTTTCGTACCGCTCATGTTGTAAGGGAAATGGGCAGCGAGCAGTTAAAAACAGACGTTTACTCGCCAAAATTTCTAGTAGGCAATGTCCTCTTCGACGACTTCGTCCCCGCCAAGGGTCGTTGACAATCCATCAGCAAAATCGAGAATATGGTGCGCAGGGGAAAGCGCAGGCGTGGCATGTATTGATTTGTTCCAGCGGCTGCCTCTGCTCCGGCTCGTTTTTTTGCGAGAAGCTAGTGCCGGGAGTGCACATTGCGCCTCACCGCAGCGGTTCGGAATGGCGCCCAAAGCCATATCAGCTTCGGCGTGCTGGCCAAAGCGTTCCACATCGTTGTTCACATCACCTTTGAAACTCCCTCGCTTTGCGGACTCTAGTGAGCCGTCGGGTTTGGATATGTTTCGCTTTCGCTTTCGTGGCTTTCTTGAATTGCCGTCTGGTAACGCAGTTACAAATACGGGTTGGTTATCTTGGTTGTAGCCATCATTTGTGTCGTTCTCTTCGCCAGATTCGTCGACCCGGCATTGGGCTTCATTATGACGAAGCGCAGTTTCGTACGGCGCCCATTTTGAAGATGTGTTCAATTGGCCGCTGCTGTCCGAGAAGTTTGCATGGTCAGCTTCGCGACAAGCACTGACAACTCCTGAGTCGAAACCCTGCAAGTTGCAAGCACGTTCTGCGCCATTTCCGAACGCTCCTTCGCTTTCGATTGCGGTGGCGTCCACAGCGGTGAGGCCACCGCCGCCGTGAGGTTCCTGGAGTTGTTCAAACTGCTCTTCGGCCTGACCGCGGGTGAGATTGATCTTCTGAACAAACTTTCGGACATCAGCAGCCTTGTGCGAGTGAGCGACGATCTGGCATGAGACGCAGCATGGAATGCCACAGTTGAGGCTCGGTCAGTGTCGCGCGTTCACAAGCGAAACTTGCACAGCACAGAATTCAAAGGTTGGTAGGAACCGTACTTTTCGAACGCTTTGTTTGGCGCCGCACAGCTTGCAAACGAATTTACTGTCCTTGCGCTTCTGACTCACCTGATAGTGATTGCATTGGAAGCATTGCACTGCGATGAAGTCTGGCATTGTTCCGCGTGCGTCGGTAAGCGTGTCAATTCAGACAATTGCGACTAGGGGATATCATCGAAACTCAAAGGGCTTCGCGGGATTGTTTAGTAGTGGGGGGGAGAGAGGTGGAGCGAACGCAGGTGGCCCAGCCTTCCCCGACTGCAGATGACTGGGCACAGGTTTTGGCGCACTTGCAACGCTTTGCCTCGTTTCGCGCCTGTACTGTAATGTAATTTCTGCAATACTGTAAGACATGACGTGCTGCGACAGGGAGGCCTCATACTTCACTCTCCTTACTGTGCTACAGTAGCTCCGGAGTGTCTACATACTGTAAACTTTACCCGTAGCGATTCGCCTCATGCAATATCCAGGGTACTGTGGGAGCGCATTTCTTTAACATACATGCCCTCGACAATACAGTGCCCACGCGATTACTGCAAGCCCCGATAACTGCAACTACAGTGAACCCTCTCGATATGGATACGCTCGGTGGACGTAATCCGTATCCATTTGCGGAGGTTATTCACATCCGGAGACCGTATCATAACGGTGTCACGGTGACCTGCATCTCTCAGAATGTCTGTGCTTTACTTAAAAATGTATTTATCGTCGTCTGGACTGTGCAATTCCCCTTCTTGGTACGCAGAGATATCGGGACGAAAACCATACTTTCCGTTGATGATGCGGGACATGACAGCTGGAGCAGGAGGTTTGGAAAGGGATAACTGTACTGAGGCCCACTTCGCAAGGGCGCTTTGTGACGTCTGCTCCTTGCTCTTTTTGCGCCGTTGGAACTCTGCACATATTTGTTGCTTTTGGGCGAGGTTAAGCTCAGAGCGCTTCATCGACGATTGTCGCTTGACGGGGGCAGATGGCTACGGTGCTGACAACACGCAATGTTTGCGATCAGAGGAGATTTATTGGGGGAGGACCAACAGGAGTATATGCTAGAAAGATGTTTTTGTCGAGAATGATGATAATTGCGCAGCCTCAGACGGGGATTGGAATTTATTGGGCAGATTGTGAACGGATCGATCAAGAATAAACGGTTACGGGGTAATTTGTGCCTTGGCCGCTCAAAAGTAACCATAAAATACATTTTAAGTAGGAGGGGTCTGTATGATATGCTTATTTCACATTGAACCTGCCAAGATAGGCATATCATAGGGCCTTTGGCCATGAGGTGGCGAAAGCCATTTCATCCAATAAGAACGCTCCGGACCGCCGCCGTCCATACTTGGACGGCTGGCATTGGCCGACGAATGAAGTCGGACCAAAAGGGAGAATTTTGTATGCGCACCATCGTAGATTTAACTATTAATTAGTAATCTACACTTGACGGCGGCGCGGTATCGCGCCCACCAGTCTCGGACTGGATGACATAAAGTTGTGTGACCGCGGGCAGCTCGCCCCCTCACACAGGAGAGGAACCAACTCTCGATCACGTTTATTGCTCACCTCGTTCAGAACCCGGTATCCAATTGAGGAATTTTTCCAGACATTGTTTTTTGGTAAAAATTTGTAAGCTACAGAGTACGTCGCTCGACTTTTTATCCGTTTACGGAGGATATCCATATCCCTAGTACAGTACACGTTTTAAATGCGCACTTGAGTGCGCAAATCATTTCAACACACGTAGTTCACGCGTTGTGAGGCTTCAGAGCTTGAAACTTCTGGAGACGATAGAAGACATGTGCCGCTACCACTATGCCAAATTTCCATGAAGGAATACAATTTTCTGTCGCTATGAACGGCTTCGAGAAACATTCATTCTGCAGCCATCATCTACGTCCAAATTTGTCAAATGCGCACTTTAGTGAGCATTTGAATTTAGTTTGTGGTACTGATTTCGCAGGTTCGGCATAGCCTCAGCGCTGCCCCCACTCTTCGCACGTACCAGCCTCTTACTCTTCCCTAATTGTGCCCGTCTACACCACTGTAGTCCTTGCTACGCCTATAAAGACCTGGCTCCTCCATCCCTCGGCTTCTGCTTCTTTGATTCATGCCAGATGCTCCAGCAGCTCTTACGCTGCCCATTGTGTACTCTGGTACAAATATGTGCATCACAGGCAGTGCACATAAAGCTTTCTCTATGTCGCTTTGCCCTAGATGCACTGCTGCCACAAAAGGAGCAATACTTCGGTGTCCCTGGTAGCTGCCTTTGTTTCTGTGGGTGATCGTGCAGACGTAACTTAATCCCGTCCGGCGCGTTAAAAAATATAAGCCGCTTTCCCCGACGCTTTCGTGCCAAGGCAAAAAGCCGAGCTGCCTCAGCATCAGTGACTTCCTCAGTGTCCTCTTCTTGCCGACTTTTCTCCTTTTCCAGTTGGTCCGCATACAGCAGCAACTCTTGTGAAACGTCAATGTCAAAATCTGCAAGACTCAGAACATTATTTAAGGCGTGAGATAGTGGCCAAGGTCTACAAGGCTTCCGCGGTTTGAAGCAAATGTTCTCCTTGCGCCATTCTCCACGCAATAAATGCATTTACAGCCAAAGGCTTGAATGTCTGTGACACAATGTTTTGCTCCCATGCGAACGCAGATGTCGATGAGCGAAGTATCGACCGCGACTGTGTGCTACCATCGACTCCACCTTTCGTCTTTGAATCAAGACTTTGAGCGGCATGCTTGAACAGTTTGAGAGGCGGAAATGGGCACTTCTCTTTGACGTACTTGTTTATCGTCCTCCAGAAAGGAAAGCGCTCCTCAATAGTACGGCGAGAGTTTCTGTCCGCAAAATGGGGTACCTGTGGTTCCTCATCATGTGCGTAGGCAATAAATGAATCAGCACGTCTCCTCAAGGCTTCGCTACAAATGTGTAAAGTATCATCACTACACCGTACAACCAGAATGTACATGATTCCAACCTCAGCCGCAGACACGTAGATTAGATAGTGCACTGATAGCACCAGCAGTTGATGAATTACCTGCCCCATGTGTTCCGTTGGAACGTATTTCATTCATGTGGCATCTCCAACTCTGCAAGTTTTTACATCTACTGTCTCCATGCCGATCGCTCTGTCTAAACTTGATACTCCAACGTTAGTCTTGATCTCAACTGATGCGAGGTCCATCCATGAATGGGCAGCTACGTCTTCAGAAATCCCCAGCTGGCCAGTGTCGATGAGTGCGATTCCATCCGGCGAGCAAGCCATCCAATCTGCGTCTGCCCTCGAGAGCATACCGCATTCGTACACAGCCTGCACAAATGGTTTAGATGACAGTGCTGCAAACACACCCCGCTCGTTCATAGACCCACGCTTCATTGCTTCAGTCGACCGTGAAGCACCAAACCAGGTCTGGGAAAGGGATTTAAGCCGTTCTGATAAAGTTATTTCGTCAAAACCTTGTCGTTGTGGGAGACCGACGCACTCGCGAACTGTGCTGTCTGTGAGAAGTATAGTCCCGGCGCTTGTTCCGGTTAAGCGAAATTGTCGTAGGACAAACCAGTCAGCACATCGCTGGCCTACTGCAAGAACGGAGCATCTCTGAAGCAACAGATGCTCCACCATGTCTTTGTCACTTGAAGAACTAGGAGAAGGAGTGACGATTAATCCTTCGTCATCACGGTTGCTAAAAAGCATGTGCGAAACGGGCTCTGTTCTCGGAACCGCCACCCATGTCTCTATAGTCCGAGCGATAGCAGTCGGGACGCAGTAAAAAAATCGAAGCACCTTACTAAAATGCTTTGTGCCGTTTTCTCTGACTGCAACAGCGGTAACCTCCGACCGACCCGGTGTGCGGGAACTCGAGTGTCCCCGAGAAGATGGTTTTACAGACTTGATGGCAAAAAACGATGCCGGTCCAGCTTCCGGGTGGTCATCAATTACAAACTTGCGCCGACGGTCGAGCTCTATCCTGCGGGCGCCAATTCCGTTTATACCATCCATTTCATCTTGTGAACTGCTCTGGCCTGGTCCGATATCCTGTAAAGTCACTTGCGCCAGCTGCCCTGCCCCGTCGCTGGAAGTCCCTCGGGCATGAGCAGATGCTGTTTCGTGTGTGTCAAATGCGAGCACAGCGCTTTCGAGTACATCCTCCTCACTTGCCTGGCCAGGGTCGCTATCCCCTTCTTCTTCGTCTTGCCTATTGACACTGATGAAAGACTTGCCCACAAACGGAGGGCAACGAAGCAAATGCTGTGACATTACAAGTATGGATCCAATGCCATGTTGCAGAAGCGTGCGAATCAGTGACTCGCTTCCGTATCCTCTGTCAGCTTTTATCACCAAACCATGAAGACATTGCTCCCCTCTGCCCTCTATCAATGTGCAAATAAGCTCGAGAACGTTCGTAGACTGGGGTTCGCCTCTGCGACGAAAACGAACTGCAATTGTTACGCAAAAAAGAGCATCTGCAATCGCATCGGCCGCATGACCTTCACGATCGGCTTTTCTCATGCTCAGTGTCTTGACCTGGTTGTCGCGTGCCCTAGTACCGTATAAATCGTCGTCTAGCGTCGCAAAAGTGTGGACGGGTGAAAGAAAGATTTTGCGAGTCATTTCATACGCGGCCTTCTCGAACGCATCTAGATATTGAGTCTCATCCCGCTGCGCGCTCCATGCACTCTCGCCTCTACCCCTACCAGTTGCCGAGTGAGCCAGATTATTTCTGCTAATGAATCGGACGCGATGAGTAGAAGGTGGATTGCAGTTGAGGCGGGTAAACAAATCAACTGTTTTCTCAAAGCTCAACCCGGTCAGGTGCGATGTAAGCAGAACTGCAACATACCGATAGAGATCATCGAGACCGATCGGATGTGTTCCGAGAGAATGCAATGCTATGTGCTCATTCATCCACTTCCTGCAATGTTGCAACACGTCGTCCATCAGTAAAATGAGATGCCCAGCCCTTGTTGAATTCACTTCATTTGCAACCCGTGCAGTCTTCAGTTGACTCATCGCCCAAGTACAGAACAAACGCGCCCTCTCCACGATTATGCTCTTTGAAAACTCACTTTCAAGCATGACCCCGTGGGATGCCGGTTTTCGCAAGCGCCATCCATTGGAAGGGTCTTCAAAAGTCGAATCTCTGCGACCTCCTGCGGGCCCTCTTCCCCGACCACGCACGCTTCCAAACCCTCGCCCTCTTACACGCCCCATCCCACGACCTCGAACACGCCTCGAGCCTTGCCCTCGCCCACGCCCTGAGCCTCGTCCACGACTTCTAAATTGTCCTCGGTCATCCTGCCCCTCATCTTGATTCTCTCCAGATGCTGTAAAATCATCCGCATGGGAAGAAGGAGCGACATAATCTGCAGGTTCTTCTCTTATTACCGCTGCCATTTTGGGACCCACTGCAGCAGGAGCACGTAATGTATCACTGTGTTGTTTGTGCTTCTTGATAAGAGACAGAGGGATTTGAAGGATTTGAAGGTACAGCACGCCGTGTTGTGACACTTAATGAGGCGTGGACTGCAGGAGGGCCAAGCGATACGCGACTGCAAGCGGGCGATGAACACTCAGGCAAAGTGGACGGATGTAGAGAAAGGCGCGTCAAGGCACACCCAGATTAAATAATGAGACGTGGTCCAGAGAGGTTTGGGCAGTATCACGGTGTTGTGCAGTGGACACACTCGCCAACGAGGGCGTAAATCTCGCTATGAGGGAAAGCGGTATGTCCAGTCACCACCAGGGTGTTCGGGGCCCTCTGTCCGTGGTAGCTCAGAGGTAACGCGAGAATCGCGTGTAGAGTCGCGGTCGGCGCGTGAAGGGGTACTCGGAATCGAGTAACTAGAAGGAGTGGGTGTGGCGGTCGCGTCGCGGACCGCTATCGACGGCGTCGAAGAAGAACAAAACAAGAAGGGAGAAGAAAGAAGGAAGGAGAAGTGTAGCGTAGAAACGTAGAAAATAGGGAAAAAGGTAAAGGAAAAACAAGAAAAAGGATGACGACGAAGGGTGCAGGTACCAGACTTAGCCAACTAGATAGGAACCGTAGAGGATCCTACCAGAGATGGGGTCCGATCACCTGATGCCTCTTTACTGTAGCGCCTTCCGACACCCGACCTATATAGGCCGAGCGCCGTCGTCGGCGTCGGTTACTAAATGGGTAATTGAATAATTAATTATCGTCATTAGAATTGCCACTTGGCATTAGACGCTAATTAGCGTAGAAACTTGTGGGCACCACGTATGTATACGTGTCGTACACGTGTTGTACACGTATCATATACGTGTCATACGATTGTCATACACGTGTGGCCACGTGCGGTACACGTGGGGTACCTTCCCAAGTGTGCGCGCACAGTACACGTGTGGTGCGCTTATCATACACGTGTGGTATCATCCAAAGTGTACGCGTACACATTGGATGAGTACACGTGTCATAGACGGGAGCGCACACCATACACGTGTCAAAGGCGGGGAGCGCGGCCCCGCGACGGCGGTGACCAGGGATAAAGGGCCCAGAGTCACTGCACTACACACGGGGCGCGAAAGGGTGTGAGAGATGAAAGGAGCAAGAAACAGGTAGAGTGTAGGCTTCAGAGAAGGGTTTCGTGTTGGAGTAAGGCGAAGGCGATGGGCGTGGGGGTGGTCGGCGTTCGTGATTGACTCGAATGTAGCGCGGCAACCATTTGTCCAATGAGAATGAATGAACATGCAAAATGCTCCGCTCTTTTGCTGGAATGTAGGTCTGTGTGTCATAAAGATGTTCTCTGCACCATTGGGGCTACAATGAGCTGACAAAAGGGACAATTCTAAGCCCCAAACGCTCACTTAAGTGCGCATTTGGCAACTTTACGGATTTCTTGAAAACTGTCAAATGCTCACTTAAGTGCGCATTTGGCGTACTAAAGATATGGAGAATGATCCTAATTGGGAGGGTTCACTGTACCTGATAAATGAAACAGCAAGTGGGGAACCATCTCCGGGGTCACTCAAAATTGCTAAAAAATAAGACCGTTTCAGATCTGATTACTGCAACATTTGTAACATACCTCCAGAGCGTCATATGGGCTGTTTTGAAGGGGTTACAAAAATTCAGTCCTCGATCAGGCGACAGATGGTCGACGGCCAAAGATAGTCAAAATATATATATGTTTTTCAAATAAAACTTTTGAGGTGTTGGATCCTAGAATCTTATGGGATATATGCTAGGCCCTATCATAAGATTTGAAAACTGAAAATCCCCGATAACTGCAACAAAGGGGGGTCTCCCCCGGTGTTGTAGTTATCGCGTGGGCACTGTATCATCTTCCAGGACATCTTGATAGCAGTTGTGAATACACTGAGAGACCAGGAATCAAACAAATTTTAAGCACCTGATTGCCGTTTTAAACTGGCCTTTTCGTTTTGAAGTTAACAACACAGAACATTTCAATGTTACTCAAAAGACCTTCTTCGCCAGGCATTTCTAGAAATGACCAGAAAGGACTTACAGTTTTCATTAAACAGAAATCAATTGTAGTGGAGAGGTGATCTTTTTCCGTCATGTCGACAAAGCACAAGTCCAGAAATAAATAAGTTGACAAGTATCTTCATAATATCCCTAATGCCAGCCGCTTATTATCAGTATATTGATCATGGATCTTTCACCGAACAAAAGTTCGATCCATATTTGAGCGTCCGTCACGAAACTTGGTTCAGGGGCCCCCGAACCAACCTCTACCGGTAGACGACCCCGATATCAACCATTTGGCAGAGTCTCAAGAGCCAAAAACTACTGGTTTGGAAGATAGAGAGCCTCTAATTTCGGGTTCTCAGCCAAGAAAAAAACACCCAAAATACTCCCCATGATGAGTATAGTGATCAGCAGCACGGTCCGAGAAGGGCAAAATAGACCAACTGAAGCCCTTGAGGCCATTCTTTACTTATGCTCATGCACTTTGGCTTCTTTCACGGCGATTGCTCCGTCGAGAAGTACGTCGTGTTTGCCGCGGGGTGCTGCTCCGCGGAGTGTCACTCTCAAGAATGCGCCTTCTAGTCCTCGGAGGCTCTAAAGAGATACCCGAATCGTTCCGGGCTCGGCGATTTGGGGTCACATTTTGCAGAGCAGACCCATTTTCGTTTGCTCTGTTTCGAGATGGAGATGGGGCAGTGGTGGTCCGCGTCACTAGTTCTGTGGACGAATGCCACAGTGACCAACAGCTTTTTCTTAAACCATGGTACACCCTCATGCAAATATGAACATTACAAAGATTGCATTTGTATGAAGAACGATGTCCTCTCCAGCCCCCTGCGTTTTGTCCGCCAAGCACCAACTACAAAGCTTTGGGCTGCTGTTTTGGCTCATGCCCTTGAACTGATAGTCTCGGACGCACACCGTCAGGAGCATTAAAAAATATAAGTCTGTTGCTACGACGGTTTACGGCCAAGTTCCTTAATCACGTTGCATCTCCTGAAGTAGTTTCGCCTAGTTCTTGATCTTCGCTTTGGTCCCTACTGTCCTGAATCGTATCTGCGTACGAAAGCAGTTCCATAGCTACATCATGAATAAAATCAGCCATCGCCTGGACCTTATTAAGAGCGTTTCTGTATGAGTCTAAAGATCGAAAGGAAACTCCGTCTTCGAGAAGATCCCGTCTCTGAAAAATTCTCCAGGATATAAATCCATTTATGGCCAACGTCTTGATGGTCTGGGAAATCAACTTCTGCTCCCACCTAAAATGTGATGTTGATGAGCGTAACATTGCTCTTGCCTGCGTAGCACCATCTATTCCTCCTTTTGTTTTAGAGTATAGGCTTTGAGAGGAATGCATAAAAAGCTTTTGGGGAGGAAAGGGACCCCTTTCTTTCACATATTCGTTGAAAACGCGCCAAAAAGAGTGCCTTGACTTGAGTGTGGATAATAGTTCCGCATCTGCAAAGCTTGGACGCACCACCTCCGCATCGTATAAATGTTCCCACGTCACGATAGAATCTGCTTTCGCCTGCAGCACCTCCTTAGAGGTCTCCGCAATTGTTTGTGAGCATTTCGCAACGACAGTGTAAAGAATACCCGTTTCTGCTGCGACAACGTACATGAAAAATTGCACCGCAGTCACCAAGACTTGGTGAAGCAGCTGCCCTATGTGTTCTGCTGGAACAAACTGGCGAAAACTTTCGTCCCCAACGTCGCAGGTAATGATGTTAGCAGCAGCCAGCGTTAGAGCAGAGTCTACAGTTCCTGGTGCAACCCTAGTCTTAATCTCAACAGAGTCAAGATTTAAAACTTGTTCTCCAAAGGCGATGCCACTGTTTGCATTGTCAGACGCCCTCCACGCATCATTCCCCAGCTTATCGACATCAATGAGGGCCAAGGCGTCCCGGGAGCACGCCAACTAGTCCTTACCTTTAATCCCCAACATTCCACACTCATACACCACTTGCAAAGACGGCATCCGTTCCATTGCCTTGAGTACCTCCCCCTCATTTGCTGATCCTCACATCATCTGTTCTGTGGATACCTTTGCACTACACCACCCGTCACAAAAAAGCTTCAACCACTGCGCTGGTGTGGGTTCTTCCTCCTCCCTTTCAGTTTGCATTCCTAAACAAGCTCGCACAAGTCCACTTTTCATCAGTATCTTTCCAGCGTTTGTACCCGTTATGCAAAACTGCCTGAGAACAAACCAGTCGGCGCATCTTTGCCCCACTGATAAAACAGTACACATCTTTAGGACCTCAGCTTCGATGAAGTTTTCTGATCCTGCGGGGGCGACGGAGGACGCACAACAGCTCCAAGAGTTTCACGCTTATTAGACAAAACCGTGTTCAAAATGCAGCCCTTCGGTACAGCAATCCATGTTCTCAGATAGTCATTAATTAAATTGGGTACATTGTAAAGGAACCTGATGACTTTGGCAAACTTTTCGCTCCCATGCTCGTGAATGGCAATGGCAGTCATCTTGTCATTACCGACTGCACGGGAGCCGTCTCGTCTGACGCGTTTCGTCGCAAAAAAGCATACCGGACCTAAGTGA